AGTGACATCTTCTATAACGGCAGAGGAAGGAAGGCTCCAAAATGGGCATATCTAGTGTGAATAGTGGCCAGATCTTCCTCACTCTTCCCTTCCTAAGGGCAACAACTGTGGGCAGCATTTTGGAGGAGCTCCAATAGGGAAGCAACATGAGCATTTATTACATTTTCTCGGAAATCTGAGGTATTTTATAAGGAGCACACCTCACTTTTCACTTCTGTGCTGAGGGAAAACACTGATTTTGGCTCATGGGCAGGGCACAAACTGCTAGTGTGCTTGTGTGATGGAATTACGGGTAGGTCAAGACGTTAGGACTTAATGTGAAACAAACATACCTAGGGAAAACTTCTCTCTTTTCATTATCACAATGCACAAATTCTTACTGTTCATAGTCCTTGTACAATATTCTGATGATACAAAATAAAGTAAACCCAAGTCTTTCTAAGGCCAAGAGCTACTGTGACTTCTAAGACGGCTAGGAAGAAGGGAATGGACTGCAGCTGGAACAGGAGCAGAAATGATCCATCATAATTACTCATGGCACAAACAGATCCAAAGTATTAGGAACTGGGGGAGGGAAAAAGCCTGTATAATTGTTATTAGGACCTAAAGTTTACAACTAAATCAAAATATATGGTCAAAAGACATTCGAGCAGAAATGATCCATCATAATTACTCATGGCACAAACAGATCCAAAGTATTAGGAACTGGAGGAGGGAAAAAGCCTGTATAATTGTTATTAGGACCTAAAGTTTACAACTAAATCAAAATATATGGTCAAAAGACATTTTGATATAGAGACTTTCATTTCAGATTTTTTTTTTGCCTGACTTGTTTCTCAATCTGTCTTCATCAGAACCTTTTGTTTCAATTCCTTTCTGTTTTAGGGTTGTATTTTACACATTTAGGGGCTCTCTTTTTGTACAAAAATTGGCATTTAATAGGGGAAAAAATCACCCACAATGCTGAGGTACTACCCATGTTTTTAGGGCTACGAAATTTTATTTTTCATAAAGTGCATCTAAATGTCTTAAGATAAACGTTCCCCTTTGATTTTTTTCCTTTCTGTGGTTAAGCAAGTTCCAGTTTTTGAAATCACAAATTGCTAAAAAATAATTATTCTTTTCCATACCAATTTTTGTTCCCTGTACTCAACCTAAGAGGTCTTAAATCTGACACATTTACTTGCATCTTATCTATCTTTTTCCTGGCTACTGAAAATAAATTTGTTTTTAGCACTGATAGCATCCTAGCACAAAGGACTAACTGTAAGAAGACTGTAAGATTTGAGACCCCAAAATAGAAAGGATCTATACTCATTTTCTGATCTTGAAGCAAAATATGTTTCCCTATTTCCTAAGATGTTTGTTATTATTTAACTTAAAAGTGAGGATTGGCAATCTAAAAGTATCTCTATCCTTTTGAAACAGATACAGACTGGTTTATTTTCTAAAATGTAGATCAGTTTGGACAGCCATTTCAGAGGCCCCATGGCAACTTCTCTTCTCCCCTAGATTAGATTTCTGACTCTAATCTAGCTTCTTCCTCCTTCCAGAGAACAACTGGCAACTACTGTAGCCTGTGAAATGTTTGGGAGTAATAGACATACAGTAGGGACAAGCCTATTGCTGTGCAAACCTGGGCAGTTCATTTTGTCATGTACTATAATGATTATATCACCCCACCAAGAATTCTTTAGAGATCCCCCAATTTTTCCTTAAAAAGGAGATGCTTTCCTTACAGGTAAAGTATGAACATCAGGATTTTAAGTCACCTACAGTTTTTTTTCTCTACATGTTCTAAAACAAAGGTGGATTTTAACATGACAAATCAGCATTAAAGCAAATGGGTCTCCCTCAGATTTGAGAAGCAAATGGCTAAATGTGGCCCATAGTGGCAGCCAAGGTCAGCTTTACTGGTGGTATTAGGAATGTTGCCTACTCTACTAAGGTTTTAATAAAGACACTATTTTAAATCTGCTACTATCAAATAGTTAAAAATGTTTAAAAGTAGCTTTTGGCCTTCTTTCATTTGTAACATATGCTGAGTGATTTCATGTCATTTTCCTCTAGATTAGAAAAACGTTTTTCTTAATTTTAATTCTCTCTTTTTTATTTTATGGGTGGAATGATTTGTTTTTCAAAATACCAAAATAATTCCAAGACAGTTAATTAACTAATGCTCCCTCTATTGGTGGTAAGTGGAAATACTATAGTCTTACAACACCGATACTTTAAAAACCCAAATTAGCAACAGAAAGATGGACTTTTCTTATTTCTGAGGCTGTTTCTCACTGACTTTTAAAACAGGTCAACTTTTTTTTTTTTTTTTTTGACCGGTAAGGGGATCGCAACCCTCGGCACGGTGTGGTCTGCACCACGCTCAGCCAGTGAGTGCACCGGCCATCCCTATATAGGATCTGAACCCGCAAGTGAGCCATGGGGCCGGCCCCAAAACAGGTCAATTTTGGACACCAAGGTAGGACTCTTCTTAGAAATCACAATGGGTGATACTCAAATAGTCAGTTAACCATCCAAGCATACATTAAAACTTTTAGCAAAATATTCACCGAATTAAGCACCGTAGGACCAAATCAAATTCACAAATACTCCGGTTGCACTAACCCTACTAAACATCACAAAGAACTTATGAAAAAGGCCCAAGTTAACCAAATGTCTAAAATATATGAAAAAAACAATATAATCATTATAGAGTTGCTTGCCTTGGAAGATTTCCCCTGATTTGCTGCACAGTTTTTGTAAATAAAATGCTGACAGGAAAATTAGAAGAAAAATTAAATTACAATGAAAAGTAATTTTGAAATTAAAATACTCTCTCTTTTCTTCTTTTTAACATTATAGTTTGGTGTTTCTGTTTTGTTTGAAGTGTGTTAAAATATGCCCAGCAATGAAGTCACTTTTGGAATTTTAGTTATGCTTAAGAATTCCTATATTTGAGTTGGAATCCCTTCAGGACACTGTCTGTACTGGAAAAATCTCAATTACAATATCTTGATCAGGACCGAGGAGAGAAATTCCAACTAGGAAGAGAGAGTGGCATTTAGGATGATGCAACACATTGGTGGCCTTTTGAATGGTGGATGTTGGCATCTCGGAAATTTTTGTTAATTTCCCTAAAACCCTAAAAGCAAGGGTTAATAAATCATCTAAAGCACGATCATCTTATTGAGCCCTCTCAACCATGGTGGAAATAGAAAGTGATATTTGAAAGGAAGAAAGTAATTTTGGCATCAATGCATCTTGATCTGTAACAGGCTTCTCATAACAATGCTCTTTGTAGTTGTGAAGGGTGAGGAGGCCTGGTAGAGTTTTGTGAACTCCTCCTGGCTGACCACAAAAGAAAAGAACGCATTTGTCAAGACCTCTAGACTACTAGTGTTTCACCAAAGAAATAAATCAATAGAAATTCTAGAATCATAAGATCTCAATGAAATTTTGGAGAAGCAAGAAATCTGTTTCTGAAAGATAAAGTCCCTCCCATGAAAAAGAACAGAAGTCTAGATGGATCAATTGAAAAAAATATTCAGTGAAGCAACTTAAGCTTGCTAAAAGTCAAAGAACTACATATCAAAATACAAAGCAGCAGTTCAAATTACAGCAGGGATGGGCTGGCCACAGAGGCCCTCATCAACCCAGGCAATACTTAAAATAATAAAAATTAAGAAAAATTAAAAAAAATATGAAGAAAATATCCTTCCTCTCTTTCAAATATAACTTTAGTTACCTTTTATTCTTTCTATCTGGAAGCAGTATTGCTAACCTTAACAGTCTTGACTTACCAAAAAATATATATATGTGTGTGAAATAAAATAAAAGAGAAGGGATTGGTGGCAGTGTATGCAAAACCAAAATGAAAAAAAAAATTACTTTTAACAATCTCAGTTTTTTTGTTTTTTTTTTTACACAAATACTGTTGTAAATATATTAAAAAAATCAGCATTCTATCTGGTAAACGTCACTTTTGCCCCTCTATAAAATTTTGAATTAAAAAAGCCTCAAGAACTTTTTATTGTCCCCCCACCCTCCATTTCTCTTTCTTTTTCTCTTCCACAAGAATATATCCTGACACTTTTTTTTTTTTTGCAAAGATTGTTGGAAATAATCCTTCTCTTGTACCTAGAAACATAGGTGCAAAGCTCTGATATCTTTGTTTTATCTGCATTCCTGCCTTTCATGAAAGTCCCTCTTGATTGTGCTGAGGCTGTGGCTCAGCGAAGACACTGAATAAATACGATAGCCACTGTTGCTTGTTGCTTGTCCAAGTCTTCCTGGCTTCTGCTGAAAGAGGGGGATACAGAGGAGGTGGGCCAGGGTGTGTGGCCCCAGGCAGAATCTGGGGGAGAAGCCTGCCATTTGCCCTTCTTTCCCACACACCAAACCCACTGCCCCTTCCCACCCCCACAGCCCTTTTTGAAATCAGACAACATGGTAGGTGGAAAACAGCAGGGCCTTTCCTCTGGGTTTTCAACCAGAAGCGATATTCCACAGTTTTAACTGGTTACTGTGAAGTCCAAGCGGCCAGAATTGTGAAAATGTCCACTGAAACACTGCAAGCGGTGTATTTAAAGACAGTAGGCCTTTTAGATTTTGTTATATATTTTTGTAGTGCTCTTCACAAGTGAAAAAAAAAGTTTGTTTTTTTTTTTAACTTTTTTTTTTAAAGACTTTTTTTGTAAAGAAGGTTGTATTTAGAGGCCAGTAGCTAGAGATCCAACCAGTGGACCTCTTGAAGCACTACCAGGCCTTAAGGCCACCATCCGAGGGAGACTGGGAAAACTACTATTCACCCGAGCCTCCGGAAATGTAATGTACCAGCAGGCAAAAAACAGTTCTTCATGTAGTACAAAATGAAACGAAACAAAAACAAAAACAGAAAGTAAAAACGAAACCAAAACATTTCTTAAATTCTAGTGCCATAGCTTTTTGTTTGTTTCTTTTTTTGTTGTTTTGTTTTGTTCATAAGAAAGAGAGAAAGAGACTACTTATCCGTCAGACACATGCATCCTCATGTGGTCGTTGAACTGCTCGATTTGGTCAAACTTTGCTGGACAGACGGAGCAGACGTAAGTGGTCCCCTCCGTGCAGGCCACCACGCCTGGGGGGCCGGCGCGGGCACCTGGGGGTGTGCCTGCTGGAGGGGTCCCGTTGCTGGCACTGTGCAGGGCCACGTGTCGCTCCAGGAGGGTCTTGTGGGAGAACTTCTTTTTGCAGATGTAGCATTCATAGGACTTCTCCCCGCGGTGGAGGCGCATGTGCACGTTGAGGGAGCTCTTCTGGGTGAAGCGCTTGTTGCAGATGCTACACTGGTATGCCCTCACTCCTGTGTGTGTCACCATGTGCTTGATAAGGTAATCCTTTAAGGAGAAGGAGCGCCAACAGATGCTGCATTGGTGGGGCTTCTCACCTGTTGATGTGGGAAGAGACAGCAAGCAGGGCGAAGCAAAACATAGCAAGGGTGGGAGAATGAGAGACAAAAAAACGAGACAACAAAAAAGAAAAAAAATTAAAAAAAAAATAAAATCTGATTGCTGAATGGGTCATCCTTGTTTAGAAAAATCCAGGTCTTCCTGGCCTCTCATGTGCAGAGAAAACTTGCTTTAAGATGATGCCAGGATAGTCTAGAGTTTTCCATTTCCCCATGCCAGAAAATGGCACTCTTGGAAAGCTATAAGACATTCCCTGCTAAAAGTCTTCAAAGGTCATTCTGTGGTGAAAAGGGAGGACTACCTTTTAAGGGAGTCATTTTCAGTGTAATCATTAGGGGATTTAACTGTGTTTTCCATTCACATTATCAAACTCATTTAAGAAATGAGAGGGAGGAAAGATCTTTGGAGATATAGCGTTCTCTAGAATCTCTGAGAACTAAGAATATTGGCCATATAGCTCAGGTCTTTGGAGACAGTCCCCACTTCCAGTATTCTGTCTAGTAAATGCACCTGTACATTGACTGTAAACCTGGAAAATATTTGTCAACATACGATTATGCCATTTTGAAGAGCTACATTTTCAATTTTATCTATTTTACGCAGAACTCTTCCTAAAAAGTAACTTAATGTTAATTGGCTCTTCTGTACTGACTGCACTGAGCTGCAGATTGACCTCACCAGGGGTGGAGGTTGAGTGGGTGATGGACAACATGATGTTCTCAGAGTAAATGGTCCCGTTCAAATCTAGGCACCAACACACTGCTCACCACTCTGACAAATCACCAAAGGCCTTTGATACTACTTACCTCACTGTGCTGGTGTTGACATAAAATACACATGAAATCACTCTACAGACCATCAAAGGTGGTGTGGGAATACTGACTTGATATTCTTATTACAAGGCCATTCCCCTCCCCCCACTCCATTAAATGGTTCCATATGCTCTTTGAACTCTTGGGTCAATTTTTAAAATAGATTTTTCTGTCTCTTTGCTCTCAACCTGTTGGCAGAAACCCTTTTTTCTCCTCAGTTTACTGCTTTGGTTTGCTTTTGGTTTAGAAACCAAAAAATTGAACTTGTTAAAAACAGTAAGGTAAGTAAGACTACTGAGGCACTGAATGGCGAGAAGTGTTCTTCTATAAGTAAAGTCCATGGGCCTGTGACATCTCGTCGGACAATTACTTAAAGACCTGTTTTTGTTTGTGCTGTTTGTTCTCAGCTCTGCTCTAGACAGGTGAGATGAGCTGCATTAAGGTGTTCGGTTCATCTCTCCCACCTCATTACTGATTACCCAATGTAGGCACCCACCTCAGAGAAGAAAGTCCTTCCACATACTCTTCCAGATCCAGCCTAAAGTCCAAAGCCTGTGAAACTCCCTAGGATAATATGAGGGTACTTCAAAAAGTTCATGGAAAGATTTGTATTATCTTTTAATTCTATTTTTCAATGAACTTTTTGAAGTACCCCTGTATTTCCACATCTGAACTATCCAACAGGGTAAAAAATCTACTTCTTAAATTTGAGTTAATTTCCACTTAAAATATGTGCCTTGACTGTGTTCCCATTTTTTTTTTCCACTATGAAACACAAGAGATTCGACGTGTCATGATAATAATAGCAATGAAAACAATCGCCACGTATTGAGTGCTTACTATGTGCCAGGCTCAGTGTTAAGTGCTTTATTTTCATGATCTGTTTTATGAAACTTTCTCTCATCAGAAAGTTTTTTTGTTGTGTTTGCAGACATAAAAGGATATGTCTTGAAGCACACTGATAGGACAGTATGATGCACAGGATCACAGGTTAAAAGAGAATTTCAGTTTTGGGCTAAATTGGGAGAAGTTAGAGAAGCCTCATTGCTAATAATCCATTTGCTGAAGAGTTCAGTCTACGCATAGTGCTTATGTTGGTAAATTTTTTTGAAATGAGAGGTTCCGTAAGAGAGAGAGTCATGCATATTATTTTTAGTTGAAACGTTTCTGTCAGCTGCAAACATGCTTGGAACTCAGCTGGTCTTTGCCATCCTTGTACTTTCAGTGCAATTTATGGAGACTATAATAGGCTGGCCAGCTATCTTTTAAAACATGTCCACCTGTCACCTTTAATGGGAAGCATGCCTTAAATTCCAGACGGTATTTTGGCTGCTAGGAAGTTGAAACTTTGTGTTAAAATGCTCTTGCTGTTTGAAACTTTCACCTTCTAACTCTGTGTTTTTCCTCTGGCAAGGTCACTGAGGAAGGCTTTTTACGTTCACACCCTTCTAATCTGACTATAAATTGATTCTCACAGTTGTCATCTCTCCCTCCATCGCATGTATATGTATGTTGTTTGTATGCACATATTATTGGTTCTGCCATTAATTATCCGTGTGACCCTGGGCTTTTTAAATGTTTTCATCTCTCTGGGTTTATTTCGCCTTCTGTAAGGGAGGAGTTGGGCCAAGTGCTCACCACGGCCCTCTGTAGATTTAGTGGGCTTCTGCCCAAGATGGTCCACAACCCCTGAGGACTCCAGTCCTGGCGTCATCAGCGAATGACTCAAGGGCAACTTGCTTAATCACTCAATGCATTAGCAGTTCCACAATTGAAATAGGACAGAAAAATAGTATGATAGTTAATGAGGAAAAATGTTTGCAAGGCATTTGGGAGCTCCTTAACGGAAGGTGATCTCTATAATCATTAAGGTGCTGTGATGGTGGAAGATAGGCATTTCAGGAACTGTCTCCTGAATGGGGTATATTTTCAGATTAGTCAGGTACCTGCAACTTTCATTTCTGTAAATATGGGTTTGAAACAATATCACTCAGCAGAAATGTTAATGTTTTTTCCCCCCATTATTTCCCTGCATATTACTTATAGAAATCCCAAAAGGGCTTTACACATTATACATGAAATGGATGTGGTCTACTGATTGTTGCTCTCCAAGTGAAGTTATGAAAAGTGAAGATAAATGGTAGGAGACGGTTTTCCAGGTTTGAGCCTATGGTCGGAAATGGCAAGCCTGATTTGCTAGAAAGGGACATGAAGTACAAAGTGGATACCTGAATTATAACATGAAGGGGAAGCTCATATAAACCCCTTCACTTTAAAATGATCCATTTTGGGACTATACAGATGTAAGAATCAGATATGAATTCTATTTTCTTGGCTGACTGACTTGGGTGTGTTATTTAACCTCTCTAAGCCTCAGTTTCCTTATCTATAACTTTGAGGATAATACAGTAAGTACCTGTCTTGAGAAGTTGTCTTGAAAATTAAAGAGATAAAGCACTTAGCACAAAATATGTGATCATTTTAAGAAAACTTAAACTTTTCTATTCAGCACAAAGGTACTGAGGATAAATGAAACCAACTGAGAAATGACTTGCATGGCATAGCGAAGCCAATCCAGCCAATTCGGAATTTAAAAAAAAATTGCCTCAGATAATCGATTAAGCAAGTGATTATGTTGCAACTGTGTAATTCAGAGTTAAGGGTGTAGTCTACTCTCAACTCCACATGGTAATGGAAAAGAAGTGGTATCATGAATAAAATGTCAGTAAATAGCACAGGCAGAGGATTCTTCAGCAAGCAGCAGCTGGGCATTGGAGGCAGAGAAACCAAACAGCAAGTGAAGAAATTGAGGGGGAAAACAGTGTCCTTTACTGCCTTTCCGGGTGGGGCAGGGGAGTGGTGAAAGTATATATTTTTCTTATTTTTCAATGCCTGCTCTTCAACTCCTTCTCATGGGTCAGCTCTGACACTTACTCTAGCAAGACTGATAACTGAAGAAAAAAAAAAAA